CTATGTATGTATGTGTATATATACTGTATTACTGTAAGTATATATAGATATATTCTCATATTTTTTGTTTCCTCATATATAAATATATTCTCGTGTGTGTATATATATATATATATATATGGAAATTGGGAAGTTGCGGCCCAACCTGCACATGCCAAGGAACTTTATGAGCTCAGTGGCTGCAGCTAAGGGAGATACTTCAATCTACAGGATGTTAACCAGCCTGTCACCCAGCAAGCGCCTGATCCACTGATCACAGTTGCAATGCTTTGCAGGCTCCAATGTAAAATAATAGATGTACATGGGGTTTTTTTTTCTTTATTTGGGTGCAAGTGTAAATTATTTTGCACAATGTGGCATATGCCTTTAAATACACTTAGCTCTGTGGAAACAAAAAAAAAAAGCATAACATCCTGTTTTTCAAATACTTTTCTTTTTATTCTAACACAGGAAGTTTGGTTCTGCAGGAAGTCTCTTTTTTTTATTCAGTTTATGTCCTTGCATGTGAGCAAAGATGATACCAAAATATTAAACGCTTGTAGTTAGTCCCCCACAGTCAAAGAAAGCAAAACAACTATAAGTCCCAATAGCCTGAGATAATGGACACATGCAGAATAATACACGCAGGTACTGGGAATGGTGGTGTTGTCAGTTCTCCAACGCTGTTCTTTTAAGCATATCAATCTTTATTAAAGTTTTTTACAACCGCTAGTGGTGCAGTTTACAAATGATAAATAGCAACCGCATACATGACATAATGCATTGAGGAGATGCCATCAATAACTAATACAAAGCCCATTGACAATACAGATCCGGGGATGACAGTTGATCCGGCATGTATGCATGAATAAAACACATGTGATGCAGCAATTACTCCTGAGATAAATTATATTCGGTAATAGACATAAGAAGAAGGAGAGGCGGGTAAGGCCCCGTTCACATATAGCGACATACCTTTTGCAGCGGATCCGCACGGCCGGGATAGCACGACTTTCGGGGCGACGATCCAGCGACGGTAGCGCGACCTTCCCCGTCGGGCTCCATAGAAAAAAAGTAAAATCGCGCAAAATCCGCCGAAAAAAGGGTCCGGAAGAAGCGACTTGCGACCGCGACGAGCGACATGGAGTTAAGACAGCTCCATTGAATAACATTGGCCGGCGACTTCTCGCAATATCGCGCGGCAAAAATGTGCGATATCGCGGCGGAAATCGCGCGACAATTCGCTATATGTGAACGGGGCCTAAGAATGAGAAAAGGCATAGGTAGGAGAAGCAAGAGAGCATAGAGGAGAAAGAAGAAAAGGGGATTTCCTGACGCCAATACATGGCAGCATACAATGGGTATGGCTCCGCCCCCAGCCCATTGTATGCTGCCATGTACTGGCATCAGGAAAGGAAAATTACCGATAGGTAAGTATACAATTTTCCGTTTTGAATGCATCACAACAAAATGGCGTGCATGGCCTCCAATACATTTCACAATCAATTTGCCAAGCTCCTCTTCATACTGCACACATAGGGCATGTGGCTAGTCATTCCTATGGGTAAGCCGCACTCAGAGCCAATGCTGGAGGCCGCAATGAGTATGGCTACCCATAGGAATGAAAAGATCTGCGGCATACGTGTACAGTATGAAGAGGAGCCATCCAGATTTTGTCACTGGAACAAAGACAAAGGTGAGTATAGGATTAGGATTCCTCTACTCAGCATCGTGGGGGCCTTTATTAAAGGTGAAGGTATCCTATGAAGCGTATCTACAGACACAAATGTTGTAGGTTTGGACATCATGATTTACATGACCTACTGAAGAGATTCGCCTTCACTATTTGTTCCAGTGACCGTTGTCACTGCAAGTGAGGGAAAATACAATGACTTGCATTGTCTCCTAAGTGCATTTTCAGGGCTCACTTTCAGAAGTACATTTCTTGTCCTGTAGACACAAGTGGATGGACCGGGATCAGACACCCGAGACCTCCCATGCTTGGTTATAACCCGCTCTTGGTTGGCTTTTACAGTAGAGCCCCATTGACTTCTAGCCGGGAGACACAGAGACAAGCCTTGTAGACCTCTATGGGGTTCTACTGCCCTGATGCAACAGAGAGGGGACTTCATCATGAAATGTAAACGTACACAGCAGTCCCAGGCACTGAATCTACGTATGTATGGGAGGCAGGATCTGCTGTCAGGAGAGGGGCCCAGAAAGAATAAGCGCACTTTGTCGAAAAATGCACTTATTTTATAAGGAGAAATCTCCCACTGGGAACATTTGTTTCAGTGACAGCTGTCTAAGATTAGTGTTGGGCTCGATGTTCGAGCCGAACGTAGAGTCCAACTCGAACATCGTCAGTTCGGCGAACACAAACTGTCAGGGTGTTCAGCGGGCTATTCGCCCGCCGAGCACCGCGCACGAGGCACTGTACCTTGTGGGCAATGATTGGCTAAAGCCTTGCACCTGACCGCGGGTCAGGTGCAAGACTTTGCCCAATCAGGGCACAGAGAACTGAGAGAGCCATGATTGGGAAAAGTCATGATAACTCTGTCCAATCATGGCTTACCTATTACAACTGTAAACAGTTGGGCAGAGCTAGCGGTCACTGCTAGCTCCGCCCAAATACTTATATCTTACCTGTCAAAATGCCATTATGTGGCGGGTGTGTTCGCCGCGAGTGGACGGGATGGCGGTCGTCGGTTTTAAAAAAATTATTGTTTCTATTTATTTTTGATTTCCTCGTGGACAACGCTGGACATCGAGAATGACGCTGGATTATGGTCGGTGGATCAATTTTTTGTTTTTAAATAAAAAAAAATAAAAGACTTTCAAAAGTGTGGCCTCCTTTGTAAAAATTTTATTTTACATGTACCCCTTACACATTATAGTCATGAAAACGTGCATCATTTATTGGCAATGGCATCCCAAAAGTGCCAGGTAAGACACATGTTTTTCACACTCAAAGACACATGACAAATGCTCAAAAAGGTGCATGAGCTTCTTTGCAGTGTATGTCGCACAGTGTATGTGCAGCCAATTGAAATAAATGGTCTGCAAAATGCAAGATATGTGACAAACGCACAAAACCACAACGTTTATGTAGTGCTTTGGTGCCCCATTCACACCTGAGCATTTTGTCATGTGTGTCCTGAAGTGTGACAACGCTCAACATGAAGAATCCCATTATTTTCAAAGGTGCCCATTCACACCTGAGCATTGTGTTGCTTGCAAAAGTAGATGCACCTTGGTTTGGGTGCATTTTTAGTAGGGATGCACCAATAAAAGTGCAATTTTCTGGCCGCTATAGCGGTACATCCATTCTTTCTCTCCTCCCTGCTGGGCGCTGCTCTGTGTCCCAGCGGGGAGGAGAGAAACTGTCACAGGCGGCCTAACGCTGCGGGCGGAGAGCGCTATGAGCGACCGGCGTCTCTCCTCCCCGCAGCCTCCTGTCACAGATTGGGAGAGCGGTGTGTTCGGAGACAGACAGCACTGTCACAGGAGGCAGAGCTCCACTCACTCAGCCTCCTGTGACAGCTGTCAGGAAGGACAGCGGTACAAGCACTCAGTGATAGCTGAGTGTTTGTACATAATTGCGGACAGAGTATGCTTACTATATCCTCAATTATGAAGGAATGGGAAGTGATCTACATCACATCTTGTAGATTCATGATTGTGGTTACAGTAAACACTCAGTATAGAGGATTCCGGTTCATTTATAACAGGGGATACAGAAAAAGAGTCCTCAATCTCTTTTTCTATTTTAAAAGGGAAATATCAGGGGTCTGTTTAGACCCCCA